TAGTGCGTACATCAGTGTACGACATACTCAAATTACACACTTCTTGTCGAAACGGTTTTTCTGACGAGCTCCTTAAAGATATCGAAATGCAAATCGAGTTTTTGAGAGAACGGAGTATCGGATTTGAATGATCTTAGAAACATTCAATTAGTAATGATTGGGAGAAGAGGTAATTAGTTTTCGGCAAAACACAGGTCCAGCCGTTTCGAAGATGAAAATGTGTAAAAAATGAAAGCTTTTGAGTGAACTAAGTGTATGATTTGAATGATCTAAAAAAACTTTCTGATGTGTTGCCAAAACAATTGTTTTCGGCGAAGAAAAAATTGCTAGTCAGTATAGTTCTTTTCCTCGAAATTAATTATTTTACTGGTTCGTTATTCAATTTCCTCGCCAGTACAGTCCCGTTTTTTTACCAAAAGTAATTACATTGGACATTGCTAACATATTATCTAAATTGTTGTTAGTAGAGTCCCTTTTCTCGAAATTTATTATTTTCTTAATCCAATATTTAACTCGCTCTCCAGTAGAGTCCCATTTTGTCAAAATTAATTACAGTCCCTTTTCTCGATATTTGTTGTTTTACCGATTAATCATTTGAGTTGCTCGTCAGTAGGGTCCTTTTTCTCAAAGCCACGCCTCAACATTATTTATTATGCAAATATTTAAAGTTGCTCGTCAGTAGAGTCCCTTTTATCCTTTTTCTCATAAAATACATTAATAGAGATTATTTTACAATTTTTTAAAGTTACTCGTCAGTAGAGTTCCATTCTTTTTAAAATCATAGAGTGCCATTAAAATTAATTACTTTGCTAATTTCTATCCTAGATTTATGTTGCTCGTCAGTAGAGTCCCTTTCTTGCCTTTAAAATTCAATATTTTACTAATTTCTAACCAAAATTTAAGTTGCTCGTCGGTAGAGTCTCTTCTCTTCTTAAAAAATTGTTTTTATTTTTTATAAAATATTTTTGTAATTTTGGATTAAAAATTGAAAAAATGACCCAGGCTAAGCACAGTCTAAGCGCTACTCCGGTACAAATGTTTACCCAAGTGCGTTTAGACTGTTTGTGCTGGGGCACTTGTCCAATTTTATGTGAAAACTATTGAAAAATGTGAAAATGCCGCCAAGCTAAGCACAGTGTAAGTGAAAATGTCGCACAGAATTATTTGCAAATGCGTTTAGACTGTGACTATACGGGAACACTTTTTCAATTTTGAGTAAATTAGGAAACTATATATTTTTTTTTGAAATTGAATTCGAAATGAAATGACAATTGTTAATGTTCTGGAGATTGATTAATTGATTTATGATTCACATTTGATTATTTGCTCAGATATAACAAGATAGCAAAAATAATGAAAGTTGGAGTAATTGTAATAATATATTTGAAAACGTTTTCTCAAAAAAAAAAAATGGCATAATAATTTAATTTAAATGACAAATATAATTTCTCAAAAAATGACATATATATTTAATCTAAATGTTTCATTTAGAAAATGACAAATATAATTTCTCAAAAAATGGCATAAATGTGATTTCGCAGAAATGGCATAAATATTTAATTTAAAACATGACAAATATAATTTCTCAAAAAATGGCATAAATATAATTTTTCAAAAACGACATAAGTATAATTCTTAAAAAGTAGCATGAATGTAAATTTCCAAAAAATTGCATAAATAGCATTACTGAAAAATGGCATAAATATAGTTTCTCAAAAATAGCATAAATGTTTAATCTAAAAAATGACGAATGTAATTTCTAAAAAATTGCATAAATATAATTTTTCAAAAACGACATATGTATAATTTTTAAAAAGTGGCATAAATGTATTTTCTCAAAAATGAAATAAATATTAAATTTCTTTGAAAATGGCATAAACAAAATTTCTCAAAATAATAATATATTTATGCCAAAAAAGACAAATAAAATTTCTCAAAAAATTACATAAAATTTTTCAAAATATGGCACGGATAAAATTTCTCAAAAAAACGTATTAAAAAATTTTTTTTCAATTTTATGTTAATTATAAAAATGTAATTTTGGGTTGAAAATTCAAAAAATTACCCAGGCTAAGCACAGTCTAAGCGCCACTCCGGTGCAAATGTTTACCCAAGTGCGTTTAGACTGTTTATGTACTGGTGCACTTTTCCAATTTTGCGAAAACTATTGAAAAATGTGAAAATGCCGCCAAGCTGAGCACAGTATAAGTGAAAATGTCGCACAGAATTCTTTGCAAATGCGTTTAGACTGTGGCTATACGGGAGCACTTTTTCAATTTTGTGCAAATTAGGCAACTTTTTTTTTTGAAATTGACTTCGAAATGAAATGACGATAGGAGATAAATTGATTTATGATTTACATTTGATTTGCTCAGATATAACAAGATAGCAAAAATAATGAAGTTACAGTATTTGTAATATAACGTTTAAAATTTCTCGAACATTTCATTACGGTACGAGAACTTCCAGCAATTTGCCTTAAGGCACGATGCCATACACCACTAGTTTATACTTTTGTATCCTTTACCCCCAGGACTTGTTTACCAGCCGGTTTGCTATGCAAATTCCCTTACAATAATTTGCAACTGATGGTCCAATCCGGTGCAAAGGGTTCTACAGTCAACACTATGCAGATCTCTTGTCTTTTGGGCCAGATTGAATTGGAGGGTAAAAGGCCTCCTGTTATGATATCGGGGAAGTCTTTGCCCAGTTTTCCTGCTTATGAGCCTTCACCAAGGGCCGGTGGATTTATTGATGGCCGGTTTATGACCGGGATTCAACCACAGGAGTTTTTCTTCCATTGCATGGCTGGCCGTGAGGTAACAATAAATGATTATAATAATAGAAGTAGAAAGAATAATAAAAATTTTGGAATTTTGACGTTTCCAAGGACTTATATGGTTCCTAATTGATAAAAGAAAATTCTCTGAAAGTTTTAGCTCTTAATATTAATATTTAGATAGTCCGCGATTCGATTAAAAATTTCGAAAATAAAATTTGACACATATACTATATATATATGTGTATTATATATAATTTGATACATATTGTATGCGATATATTTATGATAATATATAAAGCTTGTGTTTTTACAAAAATCGTTTTCTACTCGTCGAGACCTTTCAAACGATACCCCACATGCCATAAAAAATACAATCTAAATTTTTTGAAGTAAAACTTCTTTAAGCTCGTTTACTAGAAACTCATTAAAAGACTGTATTTTGTGGACAAATGACCTAGTTAATTTCAGTATTCGCTACAAAAGTTTTGCACGTTACATGTTTTAAACAGTTTTTCAATAAAATTTGACATTCTAATATTGTTTGCGATATAATTATGATAGTCTATACTTGTGTTTTTTTAAAAATCGTTTTCTACTCGTCGAGACCTTTCAAACGATACCCCACATGCCATAAAAGATACAATCTAAATTTTTTGAAGTAAAACTTCTTTAAGCTCGTTTACTAGAAATTCATTAAAGACTGTTTAAAAAAGTTTTAATTGAATCGCGGACTATCTAAACGTTTATATTAAGAGCTAAAACTGTGGTAGGAGGGTGAAAATTTAGGACTAAAATATTTTTTTTACCCTAGGGTCTGATTGATACCGCCGTCAAAACCAGTAGATCAGGTTATCTCCAAAGATGTTTGATCAAACATTTGGAGGGCTTGACAGTTAAATATGACCTGACAGTCCGCGACAGTGACAATAGTGTGATTCAAGTAAGTACTTGCATAAAAAAAATTATAGTAGTATTATTTATATATTTTTTTTTCATTTATTCATTTTGAATCGTGTATTCGTGTATTCAGTTGTATTAATTTTTTTTTTTCAAATGTTTGTATGTAAAAAATAAAAATAATGGGCCTTAGAACTGTTCCTTGAGATACTACACATTTGACAAATTTTTAATTAATTTTTAATTTTCGTTTTTCTGATAAGAATTTCTGTATCTTTCAAGTCATTCTGAATCGTTTGGCACCAAAATTTATATAACTCTGCGTATTTAGTTGTGCTATTTTGTTTTTTTTTTAAATTGTTTATATATTTATAAATATAATAATGAGCCTTAGAACTGTTCTTTGAGGTACTCCACGTTTGATAGATTTTTAATCAATTTTGAATTTTTAACAATGTGATTCAAGTAAGTGCTTGCATAAGATTTTGTTATAGTAGTATTATCTATATATTAATTTTTTTATTTAGTCATTTTGAATCGTTGGCACCAAAATTTATATAGCTCTGTGTATTCAGTTGTGCTAAATTTTTTTTTATGTTTGTATATAAAAAATAATAATAATGAGCCTTAGAACTGTTCCTTGAGGTACTCCACATTTGATAGATTTTTAATCAATTTTTAATTTTTGTTTTTCGCTTTTTCTGATAAGAATTTCTGTATCTTTCAAGTCATTCTGAATCGTTTGGTACCAAAATTTATATAACTCTGCGTATTTAGTTGTGCTATTTTTTTTTTTTTTTTAAATTGTTTATTATAAAAAATATCATAACGGGCCTTAGAACTGTTCCTTGAGGTACTCCACATTTGATAAATTTTTAATCAATTTTTAAGTGTGATTCAAGTGAGTACTTGCATAAGATTTTTCATAGTTATATTATTTATATATTAATTTTTTTTTCTGCAGTTTTTGTATGGGGAAGATGGAATGGATATTTCCAAAGTTCAATTTTTGAACAAAAAGCTAATTCCATTTTTGAATGATAATTCTGATGTCATCTTGAACAAGAAAATTGTTGAAAAGTTCAATGAAGAAGGTGTTCCTGAAGATTTGACACAAACTATTAAACAGGTAAGTGTTATAATAAATTTATGTCGTACTAAATTTACAAGGAGTACCACCGGTTTATTTTTCTTTAATTTTGATGAAGCTTTGCACAGTGATAGGGTTGATAGTCAAATGTAATAGTAAAATATTATAGGCCTGTGAGCAGTGGTTGGATTATAAAAATTAATTGAAGTTTTGAAAAAGTAGAAGCAAGTGCTTAAACTGACTGAGCTACCGAGACTATTACCGCGGTTTGTTTAACAAAATTTTAATTTTTACACTCTAACCACTTACGATAGGCCTATAATATTTTATTCTGTTCCTTTTGATTATCAGCTCTATAACCATGCAAAGTTTCATCAAAATCCTACAAGAGTAAACCTGAGGTTCACCTCGTTAGTATTGTCAAGTTGTTTTTGTCTAATTTTATGTTTCAAGTCATTCTGAATCGTTTGGCACCTAAATTTATATAATTCTGTGTATTTAGTTGTGCTTATTTACGTTTCCTTTAAATTGTTTATATATAAAAATTATGATAAAGGGCCTTAGAACTGTTCCTTGAGGTACTCCACATTTGATAATGTTTTAGAAATTGGCTTTTTTGATAAAAATGTTTGAGATTTTTAAGAATTTTTAAATTTTTAGGAATTGATGTTTTTGATAAAAATGTTTTTTGAGAATCTAGAAATTTTTAGAAATTATCTTCATTGATAAAAATGTTTTTTGGGATTTTTGAAATTTTCAGAAATTGACTTTTTTGATGAAAATGTTTTGAGATTTTTGAGAATTTTGAAATTTTTAGAAATTGACTTTTTTGATCAAAATGTTTTTTGAGATTTTTAGAAATTGATCTTTTTAATTTGATAAAAATGTATGAGATTTTTGAGAAATTTGAAATTTTTAGAAATTGACTTTTTTGATCAAAATGTTTGAGATTTTTGAGAATTTTGAAATTTTCAGAAATTGACTTTTTTGATAAAATTTTTTTTGAGACCTTGGAGAATTTTGAAATTTTTACAAATTGACTTTTTTGATGGAAATGTTTTGAGATTTTTGAGAATTTTGAAATTTTTACAAATTGACTTTTTTGATAAAAATGTTTTTTGAGATTTTTGAGAATTTTGAATTTTTTAGAAGTTGACTTTTTTTAAAAAATGTTATTTTTATTTTGAAATGTTTTGGAACTTTTTTATCCGTTGCTTAGAGACGAAATATAGAAGCGCGTACGCGCCGCGTCGCTATTTAACGAAGAACAATAATACGAAAATTTATACTCAATATAAAAATCTCTATAAAATATCTGACAATTTGATGTGCATATATCTAATGATCATTTTAAACCTTCAAACGGCATTTTTTGGACTGTTTTTAATCGATCTCCAGAACCGCTAGACCTGCCTTCTTAAAAATTTAATAAACTCTACTTTTGGTCAATACAAGTAAAATGTTTCTTCAATCATTCAAATCGAACGCTTCGTTATCTCAAAAACTGGAAAACTATTTTCACATTTTTTGCATCGTGCCTCTGAAACGGCTGGACCTGCCTTTGGTAAAAACTAATCAGCACGTCTCCTTATAGAATAGAAATCGAATATCAATCAAATCGCCAAACAATAATTTCAAATATTATCAAAGTCAAACAATGAAAAGCGTTTTTTTTTTGTATTTTTTTTATTCATTTCTACAATTTAGCTATATTTTTTTAATTACAACACTCTAAAAAAATTCCTTAAGAAACTTCATAAAGATTTATCAAAATCCGAATATTCGTTTAGGAGGAGTTTAAGTTTTATACATCATTACAGAAGAATTTGATGATTTGTTATTATATGATATTTTATGATATTAGGTTGTCAAATATCTCCCTTCCGCTTTTTTGCTCTTGGTTTAATATAAAAAGGCGGAAGGGAGATATTTGACAACCTTATACGTTAGTGCTTTTGAAATCGTCGGGGAAAATTTGTATCCGCACACACACACACAAACACACACGTACATCAATTTTTTCTAAAGTATGCTAAAGTGTTCAGAAACCTCTGAAACGTAAAAATATGCAAAAATTTCGATTTTTTGCGTTTACTATAACTTACCCTACGGGAAGTTATAAGTGTTATCCTATCCACTTACACCTAGTTCCTTTATTTTTTAGTTAAAACGTTGGAAGCGCAAATACATGCACATACAAACACACAGATACGTTGTTGATTTTTTCTGAAGTATGCCAAAATGTTCAGAAATGTAAAAATATGCAAAAATTTCGATTGTTTGCGTTTACTATAACTTACCCTACGGGAAGTTAAAAGTGTTATCCTACCTACACCTAGTTCCTTTATCTTTTAGTTAAAACGTTGGAAGCGCAAATACACACACATACAAACAAACAAATACATTGATTTTTTAAGTATGCCAAAGTGTTCAGAAACCTTTAAAACGTAAAAATATGCAAAAATTTCGATTTTTTGCGTTTACTATAACTTACCCTAAGGGAAGTTAAGTGTTATCCTATCCACTTACACCTAGTTCCTTTATTTTTTAGTTAAAACGTTGGAAGCGCAAATACGGCGATCCCTTACAAAAAGACAGAACAAGCCCATTCGCGCAGTACTCCAGAAAATATTTACCGGAAAAAGACAGCATCGAGTCGGCCCAAAAAAAATCCAAAATGACCGGCAGAACCCGGTTGACCAAAAAGGTCATCAAAATGTGGCGTGCGATCCCTAAAGAAGATAAAGAAAAATTGAAAGCCAAGTTGAAAAACATGTGTCCGGATCCCCTGATCTCTAAATACCAACCGGATCACTACTTTGGGGTAATAAACGAAAATTTGGAGAACTTGATGAAGGATTATTTGGATAAACAGAATGTCAAGGAGGATTTTGAGGATATGATAAAGTATAAGGCGATGACCACTTTATGTGAACCCGGTGAACCCGTAGGCCTCCTAGCAGCCCAGTCTGTGGGCGAACCGTCTACTCAAATGACCCTTAACACTTTCCATTTTGCTGGCAGAGGTGAAATGAACGTCACTTTGGGTATTCCTCGTCTCAAAGAAATCCTAATGACTGCCAGTAAAGACATCAAAACTCCTTGCATGGATATTCCCTTCAGAGAAAATGTAGCCAAACATTTTTCCGAAACCGAACGCCTCAGAAAGAGGTTGGTGAGGGTTACGATTGCCGAAGTTTTGAAGAAGGTGCAAGTGCATCGGATAGTCACCGGTGCGAGGAATAAAATGCACAAGTATTCGGTGAAGTTTGAGTTTTTGCCTCATGGTGCTTATAAGAACGATTTTTGTGTGAAGCCGAAGGGGATCATGAAGTTTATGGAGCAGAAGTATTGTCAGTCGCTGATGAGGGCGATTGTGAAGTCTTCTAATAGCAAACAAATGTTGATTGTGGATGAAAAACAGAAATCTAAGAGAAACAAAAAAGACAATGATGAAGAAAATGAAGATAAGGCTGCGAAGAAATCAGGGTACAAGACTTTTGGAGAAGACTATGCTACGTCTGATGAAGATGAAGGACTTGTAAGTTAATAAAAGACTCCGATGAAATATAAAAGTAGTGTGTTAATTTGTTTTTTTTTTTTCTAGGGCGATGATGAAGATGCGACAAACGCTCGCAAAAGATCAAGGCAGAAGGATGATCAGGAATACGATGTGTCTGAAGATGAACAGAATGATGTTACGTCAGAAGGTAAGCATAATGATGTATTCTTTAAAGTTTTACTCACACATACTTACTTTTTCCTAAATTCGGTCTCATTCGATTCAGAATGGTTTCAGATGATTCGATTCATCAATGGTTCAGAATGGTCGAGAAAACATAAAATTAGCGAATAGGATTTTTTCTCCTTTGGGAAGTTAATAAGAGCTTTACTTTGTTGCAGATGATATGGATGAAGATTCAAATGAATCCAAGAACTTGGAGAATGGTAATGATGCTGATGATGTCAAAACCGAAATGTGTGATGATGGTTTCACTTTTGATGAAACAAACTACCTTTGGTGCAAATATGTCTTTACGGTAAGTCAACCTCGAGCTTATTTTATTAGTTAATGTTCTTGATAGTCTAGAAATGTTCTTGATAGCTTGAAAATGTTTTGGGTAGTTCTGGGCAGTTAGAATGTCTTTAGAATTACTCAAAAGATGTAGGTGGTCTGAAATATTTCTAGATAGTCTTAAAATGTTCTAGATGGTTGTAAAATGTTTTCTGATCCAAAAATATTCTACGCAATCTAAAAATATTCTATACAGTTTGAAAATGTTGTCTGTAGTCTGAAAATGTTTTAGGTAGCCGGAAATATTGCTAGGTAGTCTAAAAATGTTCTGGATAGTTTAGAAATTCTAATTTAGCTGTAGACAACGCCTAGAGTATTGTCCTTCGCTAAAAATTTTATAGAAAATCTGACAATGTTTTAAATCGTCTGAAAATATTTAGACAGTTTAAAAAGGTCCTAGAGAATCTAAAATTATTGCAAATCGACTGAAAGTGTTCTAGGCTGTTGCAAATCGTTTAAAAATGTTTTTGAAAATGTAGTTTGAAAATATTCTAGAAATATTCAAAATAGTTTGAAAATATTGCAAATATTCTAGGCAGCCTGAAATTGTTCTAGACATTTTGAATTTTTTTTTAGATAGTCTAAAAATATTAACATATGATATTAGACTGTCAGAAAATATTTAAGACGGTCTTAACAATTTGTAGATGCTAAAATGTTCAAGTCTGCCTAAAAATATTCTCAAAAAAAAGGAGTGCGCATAAGGTTCACACGCGATTGAAGTAAAATTTATTTGCTACTGTACAAGGTGGCATTTAGGTAAAAATGAATACATCATTTAACAATTTTGAATTATGTTTAATAGTAATAAAGTAACACTCGTAAAAAGATATCTTCGCCATGATAGAATAAAGCTGTGTTGCTTTAATATTCTTTAATATCTATGAAAATGCTGAGAATTATCATGTTAAACAACGCCTTAAGAAATACTGTTCTCACAATTTCACTCATCATGTAATTGTATTTGAAGAACTTCAAGTAACTGAAATTAACATACATTCATTGACTGTTTGTATTTTTTACTTTTTCGCTGGCGATATAATCTCATTCTTTGAGTAGCAATAATGTCTGTCTTGCCTATGAAAATAATATCTAAAAATATCTAGTAACCACGAATAATACTAATAACTCCAATAAACTTACGTTTCTTTCACGGCACCTATTTTTCATTCGTTTTATTATTTTCACTATACAATCAAAGCAATCATACTCACGCGACACGACGACCAATCACAATCGACCCGTATAGAAATGATATCATCGAGAGCGAATGACGAATTGGCAACCGCCGCGGCCGTATAGCTTTTCCGTTGCATTTGTACAGATTTACTCCCTAGTCGCGCCTAAAAAAGTTTTACTTCAAACATGGTTTCATTCGGATTTTTGGAACTTTGTTTATTTATTGTGTCCTTTTTTTTCCAAAGATTTATATAGAATACTACGAATAATATAGAAATTATGTATGACGAACAGTTCGGGCGTAACGCAACTTCCGTTGCATTTTCAAAGATTCACTCCCTAGTCGCGCCTAAAGAAGTTTTACTTCAAGAATTGTTCTATACAGTTTAAAATTACTCTGTATTATCTGAAAATTTTGCAATTTGTCTCAAAAATATTCTAGACATGCGGAAAATGTTCTAAACAACCTTCATGTATATGTTCTACATGAAGTGCAAATTGTCTGAAAATATTCTAATTTAAAGTAGTCGGTAAGGCATATTTAAAATAAATTAACACATTTTTGAAAAACGTAAAAATACTTATTTAAAAAAAACAAACTAGAATTTTAGTAATCTCTGTCAAGATTCAATAAAGATTATCTTTTAATATGATTGCACTGACTAAGCATTACATCATTTTTTTAGAGAGGGCGTACGCCTTGAGCATTCAATAACAATTTTTAACCTGAAGTTATAGTAATCGTTCAAAAATCGAAATTAAAAATTTTTGTTTTAAAAATTAAAAAAATTACCCAGGCTAAGCACAGTCTAAGCGCCCACTCTGGTACAAATGCGTTACCCAAGTGCGTTTAGACTGTTTATATACCTGGAGCACATTTCCAATTTTGCGAAAACTATTGAAAAATGTAAAAATGCCGCCAAGCTAAGCACAGTATAAGTGAAAATGTCGCACAAAATTATTTGCAAATGCGTTTAGACTGTGACTGTACGGGAGCACTTTTTCAATTTTGTGCAAATTAGGCAACTATTTTTTTTTTGAAATTGTATTCGAAATGAAATGACGATTGTTAATGTAATAATTGATTTATGATTTACATTTGATTTGCTCAGATATAACAATAAGATAGCAAAAATAATGAAAGTTACAGTATTCGTAATAATATATTTGAAAACGTTTAAAATTTCTCGAATATTTTGTTACGGTGCGGGATGTTTTAGCAATTTGCGTTAAGGCACTATGCCACTTTCAACTAGTTTCTTCTTTATTTCTAGTTGGGCATGCATTACACAAAAGTAAATCTACCTGAAATCCTGAAAGGCCTTGCTGAAAAAGCCGTCATTTGGGAAACACCGAATATTAAACGAGCCATAACTTACCAGAACAACGACGGCGAACTTGTTCTTAAAACCGATGGCATCAATATCGTTGTAAGTATAGTATTTATATATATATATATATATATATATATAAATATCTCACACACCGCTCCCACTCCTTTACCACACTTGCTTTGTAACCTTGATCAGTGTCCACAATGCACCGCTATCAATAACATAAAATATAGGAGGGCAATATGTGCTTCTTCAATTTCTCGTTTGTTAATATAATAGTATATTATTATTTTACACAAATTTAGTGTTCAATCAATTTTACATCATAATTAATTTTTTCTGTTGGTTTTCCTGGTTCGGTATGTATAATTTCCTTCTTTTTTTATATATTTATATTTATCATCAACTTTGTATTTATGTAATATGTTTTTTTGGATTACTGAATGATGACACACATCAAGTGTCGAAACGTGTAATGGAATAAAAAATTTTGTTATTTAATCTTTTTTTAATTCGACGGTTGGGCTGCAAAAATATTAATTATAAACTAAATGTTTATGCAATTTTAGGAAATGTTCAAATACAACGATCTACTAGATTTAAACAAATTGTACTCCAACGACGTACATTGCATCGCCCAAACTTATGGCATTGAAGCCGCTAGCCGAGTGATAGTAAAGGTAAGGATAAGGTTATATTTATATTTATATTTATACTAGCTAACCCGGCAAACGTTGTTTTGCCATAAAAGTATGCCTAAATTGATAAAAAATTAATAAAAGTGCCAAAAATCAAATATTTAATAGATTTGGACTCTGATTCTTTGACAAATAGTTAAAAACTTGTTATAATTTTTAAAATTATTTGACATTTCATACTTCAAAAATTAATTCGCTCGCATCATAGTTTTTTGTTTATTATACTTTTGTCATGTCATATATGTCAATAAAATTTTCTTTCAAATATTATTTATTTGTTAATGAATTAATAATTATTTTAAATCATCAATGAATAATTATATAATTGTTAAATTCATAAGTTTGGCTAAATCAACACAGGAATATTGTGGAAATAAATATTTTTTTACATAAAGATCTGATTTTTGACATTCGCATTTTATTTCAAATTAATTATAGCTGTCAAAATATTTTCTTTTCGATCAAATTTTAATATAATATGATATAATATTTAGTTTGTCTAGTTTGTTTTTGTCAGATTCTAATGATACCCTCAGATTGTACTATTCCATTTAAGAGGTTACAATTTCCTGTAAGATTAGCATTTGCGCAATAACAATCAAAATATATATATTATTATATTTTAATTACACAAATTACACTCCGATAAATAATTCGAACGCATCATAGTGTTTTGTTTATTTTAGTTTTGTTTATGTCGATTTTTTTTTTAAATTAAATTTTAGTCTAAATCAACGCAGTATCTTTATCTAAATATACAATTTTTTATATAATTATTTGATTTTTTACATTTGCATTTAATTGAAAAATAGTGAATGTCAATTTCATATATCCAATATGCACTAAATTTATAAATGTCAAAATATTTCCTTCTTGGTCCAAAATTAATATAATATGATGATATTTATTTTACAATAATGTTTTGTATCTATAATTTGCTTGGCAATATTGCCTATAACATAACTTGGAATAATTAATTTGCTTCTTATTGAAGTAAGTTGTTAAACATTTTTTTTGTGAAATGTCAAAATTTTGTTTATGATTAATTTTAAATTCAATATGTCGCTTTTTTATTGTGATCTCTGATCTATAATGTTTTGATGAAGTTTTGGTTTCCGAAATAATTTGGTAAGCTAATCAATTAAATCTAAATCGTAAATCTATTTATATAATTATTTTCATAAATACTGACAAATGACATTTAATTTTTTTACATGTCAACATTTATTCAAATTTTTAAGCATTGATTTTTAATTAGATTTAAAACTATAAACAGTGATTTTGAATATAGCATTTCATCAAATTTGGATTTAAATGTTGGATATTTCTATATATGTACATGTTTTTGAATTTTATTTTTTGAAATGTCAAATTTTTTTTCAAAAATTATATATCGAAATTTTCCTAAATTTTGACATTTGCCATTTTAGTGTTCTGTTTTTTTTGGTCATTTTCTGTCAAAATTTTTAGAAATTTATAAAAATTATATATTTAAATTTCAAATTTACTTTTCAAGATTTCCTATAACCTAAGTTGAATATATATGCACACGATGAGCCAATAAAATTTGAAATCGGTTCAGTAGTTTGGGCGTCCATCGCGAACCAACATCGTGACACGAGATTTATATATATATATATATATATATATATATATATATATAGATTTATATTTATATTTATAAAGTGGCAAACTTTTTTTGTCTCTCCTGGTACGAATTAATACTTATAATTTATTTTTGCAGGAAGTACAAAACGTGTTCAACGTTTACGGAATCACTGTAGATCCCAGACATTTATTACTGATCGCCGATTATATGACATACGATGGAACTTTCCAACCCTTGAGCCGAACCGGGTTGGAAACATCGGTGTCACCTTTGCAGCAAATGTCTTATGAATCTTCACTGACGTTCTTGAAACAAGCTACCATAAAAGGTAATAATTATATATATATATATATATATATATATATATATATATATATAGTAGCGAATACTAGGTCATTTGCCCACAAAATACAGTCTTTTAATGAATTTCTAGTAAGCGAGCTTAATGAAGTTTTACTTCAAGAAATTTAGATTGTATCTTTTATGGCATGTGGGGTGTCGTTTGAAAGGTCTCGACGAGTAGAAAACGATTTTTGTAAAACAAAACACAAGCATTATATATTATCATAATTATATCGCAAAGAATATTAGAATATCAAATTTTATTGGAAAACTGTTTAAAACATGTAACGTGCAAAACTTTCATAGCAAATACTGAAATTAACTAGGTCATTTGTCCACAAAATACAGTCTTTTAATGAATTTCTAGTAAACGAGCTTCAAGAAGTTTTACTTCAAAAATATTAGATTCTATCTTTTATGGCATGTGGGGTATCGTTTGAAAGGTCTCGACGAGTAGAAAACGATTTCCGAAAAAACATTTGTTTACAAAATACAGTCTTTTAATGAATTTTTAGTAAACGAGCATAAAGAAGTTTTACTTCAATAAAATTTAGGTTGTATCTTTTATGGCATGTGGGGTATCGTTTGAAAGGTCTCGTCGAGTAGAAAACGATTTTGGAAAACATATAAATATATATTAGGGTGGTCCTTAATATGGACACTTTCGATTTTATTATTAAGTAAATGCTTGTGCCATCTGTAACTAATTTTGTAGAATGTTTGCAGGGTCAGCTAGTATATATGTATTTATTTTCAGGTATGCAAGATGACCTGAATTCCCCTTCAGGTCGACTGATGGTAGGACAGCCCTGCGGTACAGGTACGGGTACTGTTTCTTTACTAAATAAAATTTCACATGTGGCTTTTGGGTGAAATTTTGAAAATTTTGAATTGTGTAATTGTAATAAGATGTAAGCGAGAATGTTATTTGTATTTTTGAGAATATATATTTGTTTGTAGAAAGTGTGTTTTAATTGAGTATAAAAGTCAGGGGTAAAAATTTGTATCAATGTTATGGCAAGGCCATGTTATGCTCCATACATTGTGCTACTGAATCATACTGTCAAAATAATGCAAATACATGGAGTATTTGCTGTGCTTTAAGGAGTTTTACACATAAACTGCAACGTTACGCTTATGTTACGAAGCTGAGTCAGAAATACCCTGTTATCTGAGAGCGTTTTTTTTTTGACATTTGTGCGGTTTTTACATTAGGTTTTCCATCTGACAATCTGAGAAATACGTCTGACTGCACAGCAATCGCATGGCTTTTGACAAAATTTAGTATTGAAAGTTCTTCATAACATGTTCTTGCCATAACAATATATTCCGTAAGATGTATATCCTAGTTGTTTTATTTTTCCAACGCATTATATATATTGAAACAGTATGTCGGTGTTATCGCAATAAATTTTTCCCTTTAAAATATAAAAATCCCTTTAAAAAACACCGTATCTGTTTACGCGCCATTAAACCTATTCGAGTGATATGCCTTTTATATTGTGTACAGAATATGATATATCCGCATAACAATTCGCTTTATGCAAAAGATTTATTGACAGATTTAAATAAGGATTATTTTTTAAAGTAGGTTAAAAAAAGAGGAAAGATCGAAACTTACATAGATTTTAAATTCATGCATAAACTAGTGGTGTATGGCATCGTGCCTTAAGGCAAATTGCTGGTACTTCCCGTACCGTAATTAAACATTCGAGAAATGAAAATAATCGATGATTGTTTTGAATAATTTCAAATAGATTATTAATTATAAATACATATTGCTAATTTATAAGTGCTCATTAGGCGACAAGCGTATTCTACAAACAACTTGTGTGTATGTTTATAAGAAATTTGTTAATTTTTCTTTTTTTTATTTTTTTGATGATTTTGAAGTCCTTTCAAAATTTTGAAATTTTTTTATAAATTCGAAATCTTTTTGGAATTTTTGAAAAAAATCGATTTTTTTTTTAAATTTTCTGACAATTTAGAAATTTTTGAAAATATTCGATTTTTTGAAAGATTCTAAATATTCTCAACTTTTTGTAAGGAATCGATTTTTTTTTGAACAGGATGAAAAATTTCGAAAACTTGAATTTTTTGAAACTTAAAATTTCTTTGAAAATTTTGAATTTTTTGTTATTAATTTTCATCAATTTCAATTTACGAAACTTTTTGTTAAAGCATTTTTTGCACACCGTCTACACAAGCATATTGTTATTTGAATTAATCTAATCGGATGATCCGTACTCTCAAAAACTGCATAACCCTTTTCACATCCTATGCGTTCCATTACTCCGAAGCGGTTGGACGTGCCTTTTGCAAAAAAATATTTAAAATATTGGTACTGAACCCAAAAAAATTGTGTACACATTGTTAAAATCTCTATAAAATATCTGATAATTTGATTTGCATATGTCTAATAAACATTTTTGACCGTCAAATGGCATTTTTTTTTTAATTTTTTTTATTGAGAGTCCATAACCGCTTGACCTGCCTTTCCAAAAATTCAAACTTAGTCAATACTAGTGTTGGGCGTTGAATCAACGAACGGTTATTTTCAACCGTTTCTTCTTCGTTAACTAACTAACCGTTTCGTCGCAACGAAATAACTAGTTGAAAATCAACTGGTTTCGAAGCAGTTGAAAACATGGCGGCCAGTTAGTTTTTTCAACGATATAGGAATTCGTTCGTTGTCGAAAACGAACGTAGGCAGGTACCTGCGTCGGAAAGGATCAACTAATACTATGAAAATCGCTTATTGTAAAGCTACTGCTTTTATAATATTGCAAATGTACATGTACATCTTAAAAGAAACTTGCAACACGCGCCAAATCGTTTAATTTTAGAAAATCAGTTACATTTATTATAGTTTTCAATGATTAATATTTTTCATAAAAATCTCATAGCATTTGTCTTGTAATAATTTTTTTAAACTAAACCTGAAAATTGATTTTTTATTTTTCATAACATTTTTATATAACTATATATTTTTATATTGCTATTTTTATATAACATGTAAATTCGATGTTTTAGTATATGGCTTAGCTGTAATGAAAATATTTAAGTTTTTTAAATTAAACCTTTATTTATTATATATAAATATATATATATATATGTGTGTGTGTGTGTGTGTGTGTGTAATAAATGCGACAATTCACATTTATTTCTTTTTATTCATCAAATCCAACGTCAACTTCGCTTTTATAAGAACAAACTTCATATTACTAACTTTCAATGAAACAGTTATTTCAACTATCAGTTTCTTAACGTTGCCAGCGTTGAATCGTTAAAAATAACTATAGTTGAAAAATAACTAGTTATTTAACTAGTTGACGAAACCCCGATAACCGTTTCGTTTCGTTGACGGCAAAACCGTCAACGACCCACCTCTAGTCAATACACATAAAATCTTTGTTGAAATATTCAAATCGGACGCTCCGATCTCTCAGAAACTGAATTACGATTTTTGTAATTTTAGTCCCGAAACGGCTAGACCTGGCTTTGCCAAAAACTAATCAGCACATCTCCTTGTCAATACGAATCGAACGTTTTTTGAATCATTCAAATCTGTTGATCCGTGCGCCCGAAATCGTCAACGAAGATGATTTTGGCAAAGACAGATCGAGCCGTTTCGGAGATACGAAAAGCAAAGAGTGCAGAAATAGAAATCTAGTTTTTGAAAGAACGGAGCATCCGATTTAAATGTTACAAAAAACTTCCTGCTTGTGTTGACCAAACGATTGCTTTTGGGGTATTTTTTTATATCGAAAATAATTCAAATTTTAATTCTAATTCTAGCTAAAGTTCTAAAGCTCACCCATATACTTTAAATATATAATTTTAACTTTGCAATTCAGTTTATATAATTCTTAGAAATATGAGATAAGGTCCTACATTCTAACTCCCTTTGATTAGGTTTTTTTTATTTAGTTTTTATGTAAACATATATAAACGTCGTCCAAATCGTAAGCTCTTATAATTTGTCTATAAAATACGAATAACGAAAGTTACAGCATTTATAATAATCTATGTTGAAAACATTTAGAATCCCTCGAATATTACATTATTGGAAGTTCTAGCGATTTGCCTTAAGGCACGACGCCATACACCACTAGTCAATTTAACACTACTTCCAAAATATCGCCTGGATCGTTTTCAACCAAAGTTACATGTCGTTCAATTCTCTAACAAATGTTCTTGAACGCCTATCCGTCCGTCTGTCTTGAAATTTACACATACAAAAATTAAAAACACAACAATTAAATCTCTTAACAATAAATAAATAAATAATATATTTAACATTGACGTCAATCTTGATTTACAATTCTAGGAAATCGTAGACACCAATTAAAATTACGAACGGTTCGTTAATTCCTTATTTTTGTTTATTGAATCCTCGTGTTTTTCTAATAACTAATATAACTTTTCATCTCAATTGATGTCTCAATTGAGACACGAGGATTGCATTCTCTACTAATTGGAATAAATTAGATAATTACTCCGTAGTAATTGATACTTTTGTGGAACACGGAATAGAAGTCATTTGAGGCGATTTGAACACAATCATTTTTAACTCTGTTATCTATGAATACGAGTGTAAAAATTAGGAGGAAGGGCTTAAACTGACTGAGCTACCGGGACATTGTAATAAGGAACTCTAGTCTATTTTTCTAAGCTGCATAGATGTCCATTATGAAGTATATCTGTATATAAGTGATACATATCTACACAAACTATTCGTGTGCTTGATCACTTGTTTAAAGTAATAAATCTGAATATCAATTCATTTCTCATTATTTATAATTATTTATAAAAATATGCAACGTTGTAATACTTAATAGCCATCATAAACGAAAAACATGTAGGCTTTCTCTAAACTTCCAAAAGTGTTTGAGATATAATTCTGTAAAAGATATATACTTGGCATGTTAGAATAAAGCTAAAGAAATTATGCCTAAAGAAATATTGTTTTCACAATTTCACTCATCATGTAATAATTGTGTTTGAAGAACTTGATGTAATTAAAATTAACATTCATTCATTGATTGTTTGTTTTTTTTTTTTTTTGACTATTTTTTTATTTGATTCTTTTATTTGACGATACAGTCTCATTCTTTGAACAGCTGTAATATCTGTCTTGCTTATAAAAATAATTTCTAAAAATATATAGTGACCACGATTGATACAAATTAATTCAATAAACTTACGTTTCTTACACGACACAGATTTTTCATTTGTTTCAACGCTCTCACGCGACACGACGACCAATCACAATCGACCCGTATAGAAATGATCTCATCGAGAGCGAATGACGAATCATTGGCACTCGACTCGAACGTAACGCTTTTCCGTTGCATTTGTATAAAAATATTATTCGAAATACAGTATTTTGCATAAAATGGCGTCTTAACGGAGTTCTTTGGTACATAAATATTAAATTGTAATTAATTTTGTTTCTAGTTTCTTGACGACACCGTCATATGATGTCGTGAAGTAAAAGTTACTTTCTCCGTTGACTTTTCAATAGGCCTATATTATTATTTTCTACACTTTTTACTAAAATCATTGATACAAGAAAACCTATCAAGCGTTACCGTCACATCGAAAAGTTAAATTCAAACATTTTTTGCGTGTAATAGGAAAGCCGGTAACAAAATTATTCATATAAGCTATATATTATATAATATTTATTATTGAGGTAAGAATTTTATTTATTGTATTCTTTATATTGACATAAATAGCATGATATATGAATAGGATAACAAAAAAGTAGATTATATATTGTGACAAACAAATAGTGACATATAGAAACGAATATTATAGAGAGTGTCATTAGAGACAATAAACGAGTAATTAGAGATGAGGTGTGTTAA